CTTTTATTTGTTGTTGTTGTTGAAGATGCTCACGCAAAATTCAAATCTTGCATGAATTTTGGGACACCCTATATATTATAAAGGAAAGTGGTTGGGAGCAGGGACTTTGCCACTATGACTGGATTCACACCTGTACTACTCACCAGCCAAGTGACCTTGGAAAAGCCCCATAACATCTCTGTACCTTAGTTTCCTCCTTAGTCAAATGCAAATAACAGCAACACATATCTCAGAGGACTGTTGCAAAGATCAATGAGTTAAAACTGAGGGCAAGATCTGGGTGAGTAGCATGTACATGTAGGCTGTTAGTTATGTTATCATCTGAAGGCGGGGCTCCATGGTGCTGAAGTGGGCGGTGGCTCTCCCATCGTTCAGAGAGGCTCAGAGAAGTCCCCTGGTCCCTGTCCACTCCATTTTGGAGTCCAAGTCTGAGCCGATCAGCATATTTTATCCTTTGCCACAGGGATCGGTTCAGGCCTGGGTGGATAACCTAATGACCCAGAGCAATTCAACGACCCAAACCATGACTTTGATCTGTCCTGCTGAGGACTCAAACTGACCCCATTGGACCTACCCTGGGGGGATTTAGAACTGGAGCTGCTCCCACCATCATCTCCCATAGGGAGCCCTACTGGTTGGTATACAGTCAGTAAAATGTAGTGTAGGGACTGTGGGTGAAAGGAAGCCACATCCAATGACATCATATGGCTCCTGTCCCCAGCCACACCTGAAACCAGCTTTGTCCCTGCACATTTTAGTCATGTGAACCAATATGTTCCCTTTTTGCTTCAGCCTAGTTAGGTCAAAAATTTTTTCACCTACAACTCAAAGAGGGCTCAATAGCATTCCATTATTCGCTGACAACCGAGACTCAAAGAACCTATAAAGACCTCCTAGGAGATAGCACAGCAAGTCAGTAGCAGAAACCAACCTGAGCCTGTCTCTGCCTGACCATTACACAGTGCTGCTCCCCAAAGCTACAGAAGGTTCTAGAAAACAGGTTAAGCTACAACCGTAGGGATCCGCAATTGAAAGGCAGGAGCCCGAGCAGGCTTGGGGAAGCCGTGGCATTAACAACTAACCTTTATTAAATGCTTATGAGATGCCAGTCACTGTGCTACACTTCATGTGCAACTCTGTACGTGAGCTGTGGCTTGAAGAATGAGCAAGAACTGGGCCTGTGGAAATGGGGGCAGGCCAGCATTCTTATTTAGCAATTACAAAATAGTATCTATGTGCCTTAAGGCAGCGGTGACTCAAGGCTGAAAAGGGCCCTCTTTGGCAGCAGCAGCCAGGAAAGTGAACAGCATGCCTTGCCTACCCAGGTACTGTATTTCATTGCATCCCTTCATTCATCCAAAATTTCATCCCAGCAAGACAAACAGATTGCCACTGCGGTTCCAGGGCCCACACATCTCAACCATGTTTTCCACCCAATTCCATCTTGGGAAGATATAGGTTAATTAGTGAACAAGATAAGCATCCTGGTAATGGAGGGATGGGCCCATTGGACTAGTGAGAGGTGAATGGAAGAATTGTCTTGTTGCAATGCTTCCTATCGGAGCCATGTTTTCTGGGACACCTGGCAGTACATTCTGCGTGGGTTAGTACTTCAAAAAAGAGGTGGGAATCCAAGCGTGTGTTTAGTCACTTTCATTGAATGAACAATCACTGGGTACCTACTTTGCCTGTATTAGGCAAAGGAGTTGGAGAGATGAGAGGTGTCGGCCCAGGCTTCATGCAGGGTAGGTGGGGAACTAATATGGTATCATGAGGACTACATGGCAGTTAGTGCAGAGAATGAACACCCAGCCGGCTTTGGGGCTACTGGGCACAGGGCTCAGGTAAAGCTTTTAAGAGGAAATACAAGACTTGAAGAAGAATAAAAAATTAGCCAGGAGATAGGGGAAAGAGCAGGGCAGAAGGGGAGGGGTGGAGTTCCAGGTGAGCAAAATTATGCAAAACTCGGGGGGAAAAAGATCTGCTTAAGGTTCAAGGTGACTACATCTATAAGTCAGGAGCATAAAACACAGGAGAAAACATTTCCTGAGTCCCTAGTATACTCTAGGACCCATTACTGGGAACTGTGTGGAAGAATATAAACTCAGACTTAGGCACATGCTAATGGATTTCATTCATTTGAGCACTTATCAGGGTGACATGTGCCAAGCACTTGATGTACATGCTCATCGCGATAAAAAAAATACTCTTCACCTTTGGCCGAGGAGGAGACTGAGACTCAGGGTGGTCAACCAACGTGCCCAGGTCTCACACCTGGGACGGAGCAGGATTCACACGCTTGTTGGCCTGGTGCCAAACGATAGCATCTCTTGAATATGCCTCCTTGTTCCATGACCCTCAAAAATCGATGCTTTACTGCCTCACTGCTCTGCCACCAGAGGCTCTAAACATTATTAACCTAAAACCACAGCATCCTCTGGCCTGGAGATGTTTGGCCCCGCCATTCTGACCCCAAAGATATTCTAACTTTACCATTCTGACCCAGCAATGCTCTACAAGAACCCAGTATGACAGTTTTGTCTGTGTGTATGGGTGTCTGGTCTGTGTTTAGCTACCTATATTTAATCTCAAAGGGCTGAGAACATTCCTTCCATGCAATCCAGAATCTTTCTAACCTCCTCATGCAGTTCAATTCCTTTGCAGCCTGGAAAAAAAAAAATGAGTTGGAGCCCGGCTGGTGTGGCTCAGCGGTTGAGCATTGACCTATGAACCAGGAGGTTGCTGTTCAATTCCAGGACACAAGTCCGGGTTGCAGGCTCGATCCCCAGTGAGGGGCGTGCAGGAAATAGCCTATCATTGAGTCTCTCTCATCATTGATGTTTCTATCTCTCTCCCTTCATCTCTGAAATCAATAAAAATATATTTTAAAAAATGAGTTGGAGGAAGACATTGAAGCACTTTGCTGAGGTCAGAGGGTGAATTAATAGGTTTTCTCTAGGTACCCTCCCCCACCACAATCTACCAGCACCCACATCACTGATCCCTGACCAGCAGCCCCTTCACAGAGCCCAGAGCCCACAGTCAGTGATGCTTGCCTGAAGAGCCCCCGTCATTCCTCCAGATCCCTGATGGTCCCGGGCTGGGTCTGTAGAACCAGGCAGCCCCGAGCCCTGTGGCTGGACCAAGACCACAGATAGAAGGTCATAAACTCACAGGCTCTTTTCTGCTCTCATGCCCAGGTGTCTCTGATAGGGGGCAAGATGGGAGCCACGATGGGCAGATTCTGCAAAAGCTTGCACAGTTAGGTCCTTTCGCGAGGTACCGGGGGAACCAGATGCAATTCAAAGGTGGACACTGGAAACTCTCAACTCTTTCTATTTGAGAAAATGACTTGGAGCCTCCCGGCTTCAAAACTGGCATCAGGAAGTTGGCAATCTAAACAAGAAAGAAAAACGGGGAAGAAAGAACAGATCTCAAAGACGCTTTTCTACATAGACAGAGCTCTTCTGCTTGGGTTTTCCAGGCAACGTCTATTTTTTATTAGTCTCTGAGGTCTCAACTCTGGACAATTTTGACAGGTCCAAGGTTTACAGAAATCCGGGTGGGTGACACATCAAACCATTAAGCAAACTGCCCTCTTCAACAGAGAGCTTTGCCTACACCAGAAGAAAGTAAAGTTGCTTTAGAATTTATTAGAAGGATGTGTGTAGACATTCAGCTGGAGCAGTTTAGTTTCAAATGAGCCCAATTACCCAATAGGCCAATTCAGGTTGTTGTGTGTGTGTGTGTGTGTGTGTGTGTGTGTGTGTGTGTGTGTGTTTGTTTTTTCAGCTTTATTGGGGTATAATTGACAAATAGAAATGATATACATGTAAGGTATACAATGTAATGTTTTGGTGAAGTGACCTTGTGAAGTGACCACCACAATTTAAAATATTTACTACCTCACAGAGTTACCATTTTCTGTGTGTGTGTGTTTGCGTGTAGCAAGAATACTTAAGATCTACCCTCTTAGCAAATTTCAGGTATACAGTACAGCAATCATTGTATTCTACAGTCACTGTAAGTAACAATACAGTAGTAGCTGTAACTATAGTCACTGTGCTATACAGTAGGTCTCCAGAGCTTCCTCATGATGCATAACTAAAAGTTTGTACCCTTTGACCAATATCTCCCCAGTTCCCCAGCCCTCTAGTCCTTGGTAACCACCATTCTACTCTCTGGGTCTATGAGTGTGACCTTTTTAGATTCCGCATATAAGTGAGTTCATATAGTATTTGTCTGTCTGTGTCTGGCTTATTTCACTTAATATGATGTCCTCCAGGTTCATTCATGTTGTCACACATGCCAGGATTTCCTTATTTCTTAAGGCTGGATAATATTCCTTAGTGTATATCACACCCCATTTTCTTTATCCACTCACCTGAGGGCAAACACATAGATTCTAGCCATGGTGAATAATGCTGCAATGAATATGGGGGAGCAGATATCTCTTCAAGATGCTGGTTTCATTTCCCTGGGATGTATACCTGGAAGTGGGATTTCTTGATTGTAGGATAACTCTATTTTTAGCATTTGAGAAACCTTCAGACTGTTTTCCATAACAGCTGCACAAAATTGTATTCTTACCAACAGTGTACAAGGGTTCTCTTTTTGCCACATCCTCACCAATACTGTACTTATCTTTTGTCTGTTTGATGATAGCCATGATCACAGGTGTGAAGTGGTATCTCATTGTGATCCTGATGTGCATTTCCCTGATGATTAGAGATGTTATAAGGCCATTTGATTTTAAATGTCCACTAGGAGACTTGAATAATCCTGCAAGTCATTTTGTGTAAATGATTGGGGAGGGGGGGTGGTCTCCACTGGGGCCCCATTGGGTCTTGTCCATTCCGATGCTGTTATTAACAACTGGGGGAGATGGTAGGAAATTCAGAAAAACACGAACCATTCACAGAGCTCCTCTGCAGCCTCACATCACCGGCACAATCTCTAATCCTGACAATATCCCATTTTGCAGGGGAGGGAACTGCTTCCGAGAGGTTAAGTCATAAAAAAGCACATCAATTTCATCTGCAGCTGCCACAAAGCTGGGAGGCAAATTAAAACAAGTCGATGGCATATTCTAGATCCACAGAGATTCACACAAGCAGGGACCAGGCTGAACCTAATGAGATGAAGCCTACTGGGCATGGTTGTGCGTTTCTGCGCTTGGGCTCAAAAACATAAGCACACAAATAGAGGAGGGGGAAATGTGAGAAGAAAAGGCCTCGGGCCGTGCACAGTGAGTCACCGGTGTTAGATGTCTGCCGAGGCTCCTGCAATTATGGTCTGCAGGAACAGCAGCCAGACTTGGCCCCGGGGGGCGGAGGGTGGCAGTTGCTGTGCTGAGAAGCTCACACCCGGGGATCTGGGTTCAGTTCTGGGACCTGAACCCTCCAAGGGGGACAACTGCCAGGTGGGCACATCTGGGAGTCGGCCACCTAGAGGCAGAGGCGCTTAAAATTCAGGCGTATGTGGAAATGCTAAAGGCACTGGCTATGTTTCGAATGGAATACGAAAGGTAGGGAGGAGGTGTCATCACACTGGTTGTCTTCTACTCCCCAGAGAGCATGAGGGATATAAGGGCTCATGGCCTTCTGAGTGTATGAAATCAGGACTTGTGTATAGAAGAAGGAGATATGACTTCATACTAGACAAACGAACGTAAAGCTTGGCTGACCACCTCAAGAACTGTGGGAAGATAGATGGACAGAGTGTAAGGTAAAATTTGAGAGGTAGTGAGCACCCTGTCACTGGGAGCAATCAAGTGCATGTTGTTGGGACTGCACTTGGACTTTTGTAGCTATGAGGCACTTTGGTTTCATGTCGACCCCTTCTTCCATAAACATTTAATTACATTTTATGACTATGTTGGTATAATGACATGTATAATACATGCTGCATTATATTCATTTCTTTTCCTCTGATTTTAAAAGAAATGTAAATGTTCTCCTAGGCCCCGGACAGTCTCATGGGTCCTACGCACGGTGTCTGCTGGGCCTAGTAAAATCGATCCTGCATACCGTCGACTCACATGTCAGAATGTTGTAAAGAAGGAAGGAGGCTGTTAAGGTAAGATCTCTAAACTCCCCCATCTGAAATTCTCTTAGATGAGTCCTGCCAAAGGAGAGAGGAGTGCTCCAAACCACTTTTTGGGGATATTAAGGTGGATGTGTTACTGCTGAGAACGCAAGTTTTAAAAAAGCTGTGTGTATACCATGATTCCATTCTATAAAAGTATATGCATGGACCCCAATTATTATAGATGGTAACACCTGAGACCAGGATTAGAGGATTGGGAAGTGGGAAATAGTGGTTCTTTCGTTTGGTAGCCTCCTATTTCTGTCTTATGCAAATGATTATATTTAACAGACAGCATGTCTCATTGTTATAAAATAACTAAATAAGAATACCAGCAAAGGTCTATAAATGTGATTTCACTTTTTATTGTGAGGAGGGTTGCTTTGCCCAATTCTCTATTCGAGCAGAAACACTGTCGTGATGAATGATGCTGGGAGGGTGTCACTGGGCATATCTTGCGAGTCCAACGAACAGAACAGCACAGCAAAACCCATCATGCAACCAAGAACTAAGATATAAAACAGGGCCACAGCCAATTCAGAAACACACAAATTCAGCAATCATTGGCGTCAACATACTCCTCCTGGTAATCACACGAGTATTTAGAGTATTTACGTTTGGGCTGAGTATTCTAAAACTCCAGGTTCCATTTCCCAGGTCGAATGGCTTGTAAATGCCTCTGGAGCAGTCCTTTCGAATTACCCCATCCCCAGGGTGACCCAGACTTCCAGAGCTAGCGCCGCCCACAGCCTGTCCTCTGAGTTACCATGCATAAAAGATGCAGCCTGAATAAACAATGTCCCAATAGCAGGTCCCCCTTATTTTTAATCCCTGCCTTCTTTTAAATCAGTTCTGATTTCAGCACAATAAAAATCTTTGAAGGGTTGAATGCTTTCGAAACAAATTCCCTCATGAGTGTAAGCCGTGAATAGGATCAAACGGGATGACAATGGAGGAGGAATCATAAGCAGTCTCTAATTGAAGGGAGAGAAAAAAAAAACTCTAAGGAAATGGCTATGCCCTGGAAAAGGGAATAAGGGGGATCTGCTGACTTGGAATGGCCAGGGTGGGGAAAGAGGCCTGGGCATTTAGTATTTCCATCTATTGCACTAAAACTAGAAGTGCTTGCATTCAAATGTTAGTGTTTGTACAGAACTCTTAATCACCTCCTGTCTGCCAGGCTAGATTGGGTGTCTTTTTTAGGTGAAGAACGGGAAGGGAACTGAGCAAATTTGGGGAGACCTGCCCAGGAATTCTCACTTAAAAAAACAACTGGGTTTGTCTCATCTCTAGTGCAAAACAATGAGTATCGTATTGAACGATGTATAGTGTGTTCTACAGTGGGACTCTAAGGAGACCAAAACAAGCAAACAGACAACAAATACAATTAAAATAAAATGAACAATCCCCAAATCCAGTCAAGGTGATTCACTTGCTAGCATGGTCCTTCAGAAAGGTATAGAGGCTGAGTTATAGTTTTCTTCCGGATCCACAGTCCATGTGGAGATCACCCAGTCAGCCACCTAAACAGTGTATGGAGAGCCCAGACCATCCTTTAGCGCTGGCCCCTTGCCCACTCCAGGCATACACCCCCATCTGAAAACACCCCCTTGAAGGAAGCCTACCTTTCTCATTTGCATTTTGCCTCCTTCTCAAGATTACTCCGCTGCCCCTTGTAGCCTCTTTTCACCGAAATCAAATGTGAGCTGTTCTCTAACTGCACCGGAAAATCAGAATTTATTGTACATATGTTTGTGTTCCACTTAATAAAAAAACCTATATTTTAAGATAAACTTTGTTAGTAATTCATGAGGTAAGTGACTATTTATGCTAATCAGGCAGAAATATATTCTCAAGCATAATGCATTACATAAATTTGAATGCAAAATGTTCAATTATGAAGTAAATACAGGTAATGCAAATAATAAATTACCTCCAATAAAAATTATAAAAGATGTGTCTTCAAAGAGAGATCGGCTTTAACTTACAACTGTGAGTCGCTTAAAGAGAAAAGAATTAATAAAGGCTGAATTACTCCGATGATTATTTAGCACATAATTCACCTATTCATAACGACTCCTAGTAATCAGGCTGTTGTTTCACATTCTCCAATATGAGGCAAGACTGTTTCCTCAGCAATTTTGCCCTTATCAGATTATCTCGCCTGATTCTATTAATTTTCCTCCATGAATCTGCTCACAGTGATTTGTGATTTACTTACCCTGCTAACTAAAGACTGTTACGAGGATGTATCTAACATCCTAAGAACAGTCTATGTGATCATCCAGTTACTTTTCTCAAATCACTTTAGCTAGGTTCACAGTGAAATTGAGCGGACTCTGGTTAGTTCTGTACCATAAAATCAGCTCCTGAAGAAACAAGGAGAACAGACACTACACTTCTTGGTGCATTTTGGTTTTTTCAGATTATCTATGTCAGATTCCAACATGATATACCTGAGTGGCTGTAACTCATCATCAGGAAAATATATATAAATATATAATATATATTATTTTTAACTTTTAATCATTATCATTTGGACACGAACAGGATTTTTCTCCTTTTTGTCCAAAGTTGTTGTGTATGTACTGACACGAATCTACGATTGTGTTTTGGATGTTACGATTTCGCAATCTTCTACATGATTCGACTCATGCCCTCCTCCCTCCCAAAATTCTTCTATAAATATTCACGGCTTTCAGAAACTTTAATGCTACTGTTTTGAATTGGTCAATAATGACAAGCGCATGGTTTCGAAATTACTGTATATTGTTCTACAGAGATTACTAGCGTATATATAGCAAGGGGATATTAAGCAGTACAGAAACAGGGTTCGTATTGTATTTGGATTACATGGGCCTGGAGAGAAGTGAAACAAACAATATGAGCAAAGAAGTCTAAGGAAATGTGGCCTGCTGTAATTGTACAGAATCAAAAACCTGAATAGTACTAATTAAAATAAGAGAGCTCAATTGTTGGAAAAGAAATGCCACTAACGGAGAACTGTAAATGTTTGGACACCCCTGGGAATCACTAAATAATAAAGTAAAAAGGACAAAAATGAGAATTCAGTTATAAGGCTGAGAGCACTACTGCTACACATCTAAAAAATAATTCTGGTCCTCTCTTTTTTTTTTGAGAGGAAATAAGAGACTGTAAAAGACTCTGCAATACGAGAAAGAAAAATACCATGGCTTAACAGCAGTGTACAGAAATAAACCATAAAAAAAGTGCAGATAATAATACATTTAGCTGCCCAAACATGAGCGTTTAATTTCTAGAAATGATATATAATTGCAACAATTAGGTGCATGGCCATGAATCTATATCACATGGTCTTCGTCATGAGCGAATTTTGTTTATAAATGTTGTTTACGAATGCAGAAGTTTCAGTGCTCCTGGCCAAAAATACTTTCATGAGAGACAAGGATCATTTCTTACAGCTTTTAACAAAAATGTGATTCCAAAGGATAAAAAAAAATATATTATAAGCAAAAAAAGAATCAATTCTTCCTAACTACATTTAAATTCATGTTTCACGTGAATAATTATAAACTTCAGACATTTGTGGCTAATGATTTTTTAAAAGCCTAGAAAACTATTGCTATGAACAATGCTAAATGACATCGTACGTTTATGTAGTTTAAGATTTTCCTCTGAATAAACAAGCTATAATCCCTTAACTTCATTACTAGGTAAAATACTGTTGAAGAGGTGGAAAGCAAAGGAATTCTGTTAGGTTGCATAAATATTGACATAACCGTCACTCTTTCTTCTCCAAACTGGTAATAGACAAAGTATTCCCATAAAACCAAAACTACCCTTATAAACAACTTCGCTGAAGTAATGATGAAAAGAGAAGGTGCTTTTCTGGAAAATACCAACAGCACTGGCCTTTTAGGATTCTGATGCGCCTACAAACCTGTATTGGGGGATTCTCTCATTAGGAACCCTGGGGTCTGCTGAAACCAGGGCTGCCAGCATCAGAGAAATTAACACAAGTCTAATCTGGAGTCTGAAGCCAGTGAGTGACACCTAAGGTCTCGTTATAAATAGTAAAGTATGCTGTGGGGTGGGTGACAGCCTTCTGAAGTGCAATGTTCAAGACGTGAGGCTTAATATATGACTAAGTGTCAGAAGTCAGGTTTTCTGAGAATTACTTTTCAGATAAACAACTTTATAGCGCTGCACTTAATCTTACTTACTAGAGACATCTCATTTATCACTGAATTACAAGTAACTTTAATTCTATTGATATTGCCATAAAGCCCGCTGGAAATCCATCCTGGCACTTTTAAAGGGCTTGGGGCCCTGTTACGTGGGATCCACTTGCTCAAGTCTCTGAGACAGAATCACACTCCCAAAGGCTTCTGTGCCCCCTGTCCCCTTGGTCGACAATCCAGGGGAATAATGGAGGAAAAATAACTTCCTCACCTGCCTGCACTGTCCTCAGCCGCTTACCTACAAGGTTGGGTTCTCCCACTGCAGTCAAACTTCCTGCGCCTCTTTCCTCCTCCCACCTTGGGAAACCAGCCTCTTTTCACTTCAACAAAACTGGACACGGATCAATTTCAACTGACCTTTGCCGAAAGGTGGCGCTGTTGAGGTAAAAACCAACTCGATCCAACAATAGTTTTCACTCTTCGATCCTTTTGCAGGCTTTTCAGAATTTTTTTTTTTCTTAATGCACCCTCCTAGTGTTTTCCCCTCCCACAAAGTAAAAAAAAAAAAAAAAAAAAAATAGCATTAACACCAAATGCATTTCATTAATTGGAAGAATCAACAGTCCCAACATCCAAGCAGGCGGGCTGGTCTTCCAAACGCTGGATTCGCTCGCGCACTCTTGCTTTCCCCCAAATAGTAAATCTCGGCTTCTCCGACTTGCCTATCGCTTTAAAATCTTAGAAACAGAGTTGTTGGTTGTTTCCTTTTTCTTTTCTTTCCTTTTTCTTTTTCCTTCTTGCATGAGCTTTAAAAGAATCGATCTAGAAAATGGAACAATTATTAGCATCTGTAATGGGGAGGGGGAGAAGCTGCTCCCCACCCCACCCCCACTCTGGCTTTCCGGGCTTGTCCGAGAAACCTTGGTTTAAAATTTAACCCTTCGAGGGGAGCTGGGGAACGATGGGGTGTTGTTTCCCCCCTGGTTCCTCGCCACGATCGAGTATGGAATAATTACTGAAACATAAAAGTGCAAAGGGCGCGCGGGACCCTGTTAAACAGGGGTCAGATTTCATAGGGGTGAGTAAGCCTCTGAGAGAGAGAAAGAGAGAGAGGAAGAGAGAAAGGGAGAGAGAGAACGAATCTCAAAGGTCAAACTCCAGCCATAGTCGGAAGCCTGAGGGCTGAGCCGGGCTGACCAGACTCTGAGCTTTCCCGGAGTTAACTCGCGTAGGCGTTCGCTTCCCCCAAGGGCACGAGACACCAGCGAGCAGCCGGTCCCCGCGCATAATGGCCCCTGAACAAGTTATTCTGCCTCCTTTAACAGAGGGTGATAAAATGGGCATTCTCTCTTCGCGGACCCCGAAACACCGGCCAGGAGCTCGGCGGAGCAGCGTCAGGCGTGCAGTCGGGACCCCTGTGCCCTCGCGCGCTGGGAACGGGAGAGGAACAAAGAGTTGGGGCCAAGTTTAAGCTTTGGGCACAGTCAGGCTGGGGGAAGGAAGATCCCCGGGGCAGACACCTGGGTGCCGAAGGTGGAGCGAGGAGGGAAGGCTGCCAGGCTAATTCACAATCCTGGGGACGGGGAGCTGGCAGGGGAGGGCAGTCAGGCCAATGCCCGCCGAGTGAGTGTCTGGTCAGCGGGGGCTCCGGAAAGCAGGCCTCTTCGAGCTCCAAAGTAAATCAAACCGACCTCCCTCTCCTCCCGGGTTCCCGCAGCCCCTCTGGAAAACTCTTCGCTCTCTTTCACCAAACTTTGCGCTCGGCGTGGCTCCCTGGGGGAGGTGGCGGCGCGGGAAGGGTTAAGCTCGCCCGTCCCAGCTGACAGTCAGCTGATTGGGCCCTGATTGACAGCTCCGAAAAGTTTCCTTGTTTCTATACTATTATGCTAATCGCGGCCGCTCTCGCCGCCTCTCATTGGCCTAGAGTACCAGTCAATTTCCCATCTGGGCCTGACGTCACAAGTACTATAAAACTCAGCAATTGCTTTAAACTCTTCTTGCTGGATCAGAGGCTTTAAAATCTTTTTTCATCTTCGAGCTGTAGCTCAGGCTGCTCGTCGGCTCGGCCTCCCCCCCTTTTGCTCTCTGCCTCGCCTTTCCCCAGGACTTCGCTATTTTGCTTTTTTTAAAAAAAGGCAAGAAAGAACTCAACTCCCCACCCCCCCTCCCTTTCCTCGAGCCCGGCTGCACCTCTGTCTTGCACTTTGCACGGAGAAAGCGCGCGAGGGAGAGAGAGAGAGAGGAAAGAAAAAAATTTAAAAGAGCCAGGCAGAAGAGGAGGCGAGAAGCATGAAGTGTTAACTCCCCCGTGCCAAGGCCCGCGCCGCTCGGACAGCCGCCCGCCGCGCCTCCAGCCCCGAGCGGCCGCTGCGCGCGCCCCGCCTGCAGCCCGGCCCGCGAGGCGAGCCCTCCTTATGCAAAGCGCGCAGCGGAGCGGCGAGCGGGGGACGCCGCACAACCGGCCGGGCTCCTCCGGCTTCGCCGCCGCCGCCACCGCAGCCCGCGGAGGACCTTTCCGAGCCTGAAGCCGCCGGCTCGGCGCGCACTAAGGCGAGCAGGCGAGGAGGGGCCGGGGCGAGCGAGCACATTGGCGTGAGCAGTGGGGGAGGGAGGGCGGACGCGGGGGGCGCGGGCAGGGCGGGGGGGTGTGTGCGCGCTCGGAGGTTTCGGGCCAGCCACCGCCGCGCGAGCTAGAAGCGCCCCAGCCCGGCAAGCTGGCTCACCCGCTGGCCACCCAGCACAGCCCGCTGGCCCCTCTCCTGCAGCCCATCTGGCGGAGCGGCGGCGGCGGCGGCGGCGGCAGGAGAATGGCATCAGAACTGGCAATGAGCAACTCCGACCTGCCCACCAGTCCCCTGGCCATGGAATATGTTAATGACTTCGATCTGATGAAGTTTGAAGTGAAAAAGGAACCGGTGGAGACCGACCGCATCATCAGCCAGTGCGGCCGTCTCATCGCCGGGGGCTCGCTGTCCTCCACCCCCATGAGCACGCCGTGCAGCTCGGTGCCCCCTTCCCCCAGCTTCTCGGCGCCCAGCCCGGGCTCGGGCAGCGAGCAGAAGGCGCACCTGGAAGACTACTACTGGATGACCGGCTACCCGCAGCAGCTGAACCCCGAGGCGCTGGGCTTCAGCCCCGAGGACGCGGTCGAGGCGCTCATCAGCAACAGCCACCAGCTCCAGGGCGGCTTCGATGGCTATGCGCGCGGGGCGCAGCAGCTGGCATCCGCGGCCGGGGCCGGCGCCGGCGCCTCCCTGGGCGGCAGCGGCGAAGAGATGGGCCCCGCCGCCGCCGTGGTGTCCGCCGTGATCGCCGCGGCCGCAGCGCAGAGCGGCGCGGGGCCGCACTACCACCACCACCACCACCACCACGCCGCCGGCCACCACCACCACCCGACGGCCGGCGCTCCGGGCGCCGCGGGCAGCGCGTCCGCCTCGGCCGGTGGCCCGGGCGGCACGGGCGGCGGGGGCCCGGCTAGCGCCGGGGGCGGCGGCGGAGGCGGCGGCGGCGGCGGCGGCGGGGGCGCGGCGGGGGCGGGGGGCGCCCTGCACCCGCACCACGCCGCGGGCGGCCTGCACTTCGACGACCGCTTCTCAGACGAGCAGCTGGTGACCATGTCGGTGCGCGAGCTGAACCGGCAGCTGCGCGGGGTCAGCAAGGAGGAGGTGATCCGGCTGAAGCAGAAGAGGCGGACCCTGAAAAACCGCGGCTATGCCCAGTCCTGCCGCTTCAAGAGGGTGCAGCAGAGACACGTCCTGGAGTCCGAGAAGAACCAGCTGCTGCAGCAGGTCGACCACCTCAAGCAGGAGATCTCCAGGCTGGTGCGCGAGAGGGACGCGTACAAGGAGAAATACGAGAAGTTGGTGAGCAGCGGCTTCCGAGAAAACGGCTCGAGCAGCGACAACCCGTCCTCTCCCGAGTTTTTCATGTGAGTCTGACACGCGATCCCAGCTAGCCACCTTGATAAGTGCTCCGTGGGGGTCCAACTCGGGAGTGGGCTTGCTAGTTCCAGAGCCAGGCTGGCCACCACCTCGCCCCCTCCCCTACCAAGTTTGCGGCCCCCCCCACCCCCACCCAAATGTCCCAAACACACACACACACCCTGCTCCGAGTTGGTGGCGGTGGTGGCTGTTTTTAAATTGGGGAGGGAATGGATGTCTGGCTCATGGATTGCCAATCTGGAAATCTCCATAATTTGGTAGCTTGTTTTTTTATGCCCCCCCCCTCCCCCTTGCACAATGTTCAAAGATCTCAGCAGAGTTCTTCATGCTCACCTTTGAAGCCTGCATCATTTACATTTTTTTTTTCTTTTTCTTCTTCAGTTCATGAGCTGGTGTTCCATTTTCTGTGTGTGTTTTTATTTTGTTTGGATTTTTTTAATTCTACTTTTTGGAGCTTGCTGTGTTGACCTTTTTTTCCAACCTCTACGCTCACGCCCTCTTCATCCATCTCTTCTGAGATAAAAGAGAAAAAAAAGCTAAGGTGTTTTGTTTTGTTTTTTTTCCACCTGAGTTCTTCATGTGAGATTGAGCTTGCAAAGGAAAAAAAATGTGAAATGTTATAGACTTGCAGCGTGCTGAGTTCCACCGGGTTTTTTAGCACTGTTATGCTAAAATAGAGAAAAAATCCTCACGAACCTGCCACAATCAAGCCTGCATCAACCTTCTGGGTGTGACTTGTGAGTTTTGGCCTTATGATGCCAATCTGAGAGTTTAGTCTGCCATTAAAAAAAACTCATTCTCATCTCATGCATTATTATGCTTGCTACTTTCTCTAAGCAACGATGAACTATAACTGTTTCAAAAACTTTATGGAAAAGAGACATTATATTAATAAAAAAAAGCCTGCATGCTGGACATGTATGGTATAATTATTTTTTCTTTTCTTTTTTTCCTTTTGGCTTGGAAATGGACGTTCAAAGACTTAGGGCATGGCATTCATACTTTTGTTTTATTGTCTCATGACTTTTTTGAGTTCAGAACGAAAAAGTGCAACCCTAGAGAGCCTTCTTCCCATGAAAGTTTGCATCTGCTCCAAAACTGCTTTGAGTTACTCAGAACTTCAGCCTCCCATTGTAAATGCACTGAAGGCATTCCTTGTCAAAGATGCCAGAATGGGTTAAAAAATTTAAATGGCAAACATTAAAGAACTCCTAATGTTTTCTTTTTAGTAAGAATGACAGCCCACTTTGGGGACTCAAATTGTGCGGTTTCCGAAAGCAGTCTAAAATTTATTTTTTAAAGAAAGAAATCTGCCCCGTTATTTTTTGTTTGTTTTATTTTTATGTTATTTTTTTTTCTTTTTGCTTTTGGTCATTGTCAAATGTGGAATGCTATGGGTTTCTAGTATATAATTTAATTCTAGTTTTTATAATCTGTTAGCCCAGTTAAAATGTATGCTACAGATAAAGGAATGTTATAGATAAATTTGAAAGAGTTAGGTCTGTTTAGCTGTAGATTTTTTAAAAGATTGATGCACTAAATTGTTTACTGTTGTGATGTTAAGGGGGGTAGAGTTTGCAAGGGGACTGTTTAAAAAGTAGCCTATACAGCATGTGCTTGCAACTTAAATATAAGTTGGGTATGTGTAGTCTTTGCTATACCACTGACTGTATTGAAAACCAAAGTATTAAAAGGGGAAACACCCCTGTTTATATCTGTAGGGGTATTTTACATTCAAAATGTATGTGTTGTTTTTTTTTTTTTTTCAAAATTAAAGTATTTGGGACTGAATTGCACTAAGATATAACCTGCAAGCATATAATACAAAAAAAATGCAAAACTGTTTAGAACGCTAATAAAATTTATGCAGTTATAAAAATGGCATTACTGCACAGTTTTAAAATGATGCAGATTTTTTTACAGTTGTATTGTGGTGCAGAACTGGATTTTCTGTAACTTAAAAAAAATCCACAGTTTTAAAGGCAATAATCAGTAAATGTTATTTTCAGGGACTGACATCCTGTCTTTAAAAAAAAAAAAAAAATGAAAAGTAAATCTTACCACAATAAATATAAAAAAATCTTGTCAGTTACTTTTCTTTTACATATTTTGCTGTGCAAAATTGTTTTATATCTTGAGTTACTAACTAACCACGCGTGATGTTCCTATGTGCTTTTCTTTCATTTTCAATTCTGGTTATATCAAGAGAAAGAATAATCTACAATAATAAACTGCATTTTTTTTTTTGATTCTGTACTCAGTTTCTTAGTGTACAGTTTAACTGGGCCCAACACCGCATTACAAGTGTAAAATACACCCTTTTCTCCAGAGGAAGGATTAATGGAGGAATAGGGAGGCAAGAACTCAGGGTGAAGTCTAGGCTGTTTGGTGAGGTGGGAGGAGGCCAGTTCCTTTTAATAATTAGCAATATTTAATATAAATATAAATTATGACCTCTCAAAATTTACACCCCCAACCCCCAAAGTTTTCAAAGGAGTTGAGCTATCAGTGCCCTCTGGTGAAAACAAACAACGTTCCCAGCCATAGAGCGGGGCCTTCACAGCATCGCCTGAGCATCTGAGCCAGCAGTGCGCCCACGGAGAGAGAAATCAGCCAGGAAAATTAGGCATGGCAGAGGTGGCTTTGGGTGCCCGTGCATTTAATGGCAAAGACCAGCAATGCTCACTCTGGGGCTAAAATTGATTATTTGCCCTTCTTCCCTTACACGCCAGGATTTTCTTGTTAGCAAGGCCTGACAAGATTTAACATCAACACTTAGGACAAATCCAAGTTGTTTGTGTTTTAACTTTGAAGGTCACTTCTCTTCAATAGGAAAAAGAAAAATCCACCCCTCACTTACAGAACTCCAAGTACATATCTGGGTTTAAGCTCTGTTATTAAATCATATTTCCCGGTAAATATTTAACAGAGGGCTTCGCCACTAAGATGAGCTGGTAATGATTTCAGATCACCTTCGTTCCTGAAATACACTCCCCAAAATAATATCCTGGTGGAATAAAGGCTGTGCTTTGATTTATTGGTATCTGTCGCCCAAACCATGCTGTGTATCATTTGGAAAGTCTTGCGCTACCTTCCCTAACAGCACTGACCTATTTTAAAATGACACAAATTCGTGCAACTCTTGGTCAACTTCCCCTAGAATTCTAACACTAACAGAATGTTAGACAAAGCCAATACTGTCTTGAAAATAGAGCTAAACACCATGACTTTTGCTTTATTTCGTTTTCGGTTTCTTTTTTAAGATAATATTGCAACTCTGACCGAAGGCCTTATTTTGAAGAAAACAGGTTGTGCTTGGCGCTGATGAGTTCTGGCCAGTTTATCATCTTGTCTTCCTCCCCACCTCCCACCCCCTGTTTTTTTTTTCTTTTTTTTATCCCACAAACAGCACATATCCTGTACATTTTGACCTTTCTTTCTGTGCCAGTTTAGATAGGGCTCCCAAATACACATTTAATTTTGCCTAGCAAAAGTCTTAATAGGAAACCACTTCATGTGCTAGATGTTAGTTGCTCTCTGCTTCAGAGATTTTTTTTTTCTTCTCCCCTCTGATCCCGACTCCGAGATAGGCCGTCTTCCCCTGAAGAAGCAGAAATGAAGATGTCACTGATGCAAAAAAGCTCAGCATCAGATGACAGATTTTAGGCAAACACATTCTTAAAATAAGAGTGACATTCAGGATGGAGTTATTGTGATGATCGCATGAGGAAAGGGACTTGGGAGAAAAATACAGTTGGGTGACAATTAAGGATTTTGATAGAACCCTACAGGCAGTTCAATATAATAAGAAAGCTCTGGCCCAAAACATGAGAAGGCAAGTAGAGGGGTGCTGACAAAAATGGGGTTTTGGTGGCTTGGCTTTAAGAAAAGGTTAGCGCCTAGCGAAAGGTGATTTTGGAAATAATCGTTACTAAAAACTTCGAAGTAGAGCGGGGAACACAAATACATGCTTTTTTAACAAAGAAATCCTAAATCCCGCCTGAGTGTACCTGTTACAAATAAGTCCCTAAATTAAATATATATATAATGAAATCTAGCTTTCCCTTTACACTGCATGTGAGTCTTTGTCTAAATAGTGTTAAAATTCCTTTCATTCCAATTACAGAACTGAGCCCACTCGCAACTTGGAGCCATCAGTGGGATACGCCACATATTGGAAGCCCCGGCAACATGTACTTACCAGTGTATTTCATGAAATGAAATTTATGTGAGAACTGTGCATTAAAAATATATTGTCAGTAGCAGTAGTATTATCTGCAGTGGTAGGATACAACCTGCCCCTGACTTCTGTTTAGTCTCCTTCCTTAAAAAAAAAAAAAAAAAAATGTTTGCGTTAGAGAAAAAGGCTATTAAATATATAACCTCCTCCGTATTAATTAATTATGCCACTTGTCTGAGGGTTGTCTGTACTGACCCATAGCAAAGCGAACCGGTGCTTGTCGATTTAAGATGTGCGAAACTGGAATAGGCGCCGTTGTTTTCAAATGTAATATTCGTTTTTAAAAACCCACTGAAATGTAAAACATAGATATATATATACATTTATAGGAAGGAAAGAATCCCAAAGGTACCAGCTAGCAGTTGTAAAGCATATGTAGACATACACTCTCAATAGCACTTTTTCACGCTTCATTGTTTCTCTGGCAGATAATTTCACCAAGGAGAAAAAAATATGGGACACCCCCCCCCTTGCCCCCCCACAAGCAGATGCCATGGGCAGAAGCTCTAGCAGAGCCTGGCTTTCTCGTAGACCCCAGATAATGTTGTATGTATCAGTGATGTCAAATGTGTTTATTTATCAGACTCAGCCATAAATGAAAACAATGTGTAGCCAAATACAAAGTTAAGTTAAATACACACCCTCCTTGCGTGCTTTTTTTCCCCCCTCCCCCTTTTCTGTTCCCAAACATTCACGAGATGACTTCCCTTTAATTTCCCGGCTCCTTGTATGTTTCCTTTCTCAAAACCATGTAATAACTTTTTACAACGCATCTGACACATTAATAGAGTGGCATCAAATAGGCAGCGCTTCCACTTCCTGATCTTGGGGAGGAAATGATGTCTCAATATCGTATTTATTTATCTGTCTCCATGCCATAACCACCCGGGCCCCTTTCAACACAGGCCGCTGCGTGGGGGGAATGCCCTATATTTATTACTGAATATAGGATCCTGAAGCTCTCCTCGTTTCGCCCTTAAACCTTTCCCCCCGGTAGTTTTTATTTAGTGGCCTCGATTCTAGATCCTTCTGTTCTTAAACAGGACCTCCCCTTGCCAAGCCACCAGCTTTCCTGCTAAGCGCAGCGAGCAGAGGGCACATGGCAGCCACCCTCACAAACACGGGGCACAGCTGTCACAGTAGCTGCATTCCTAGCATTTCCCTCCACTAAATAACTGAAGTTGCTGTGACACACGCAGAGGTTCCCAAGTGCAGTGCGGGAGGGGCCGGGGGGCGGCTTTTGCTGTTGCTGTTGGTTTTGTGAAGGCCAACTTACTTCCGTACTCACACACGCTTGGCTTCCTAAAACGTAGTCCTCCGGTATTCTAGGCCGATCAATAAATTTAAAAGTCGGCTTGCTGCACGGGTATGTCTATTTTTTGCCTGTCAGTAGTTAACTGACATAGGTTGGAAGACGAAAATACATGAGTGACAACCTTCAGCCGTTTGATTTCCGTGTCAGGAAAACACATAGCCAGGCTCTGGGGCCTTACGCCTCAGAACCATCCGATAAGACTCACGACTCACAGCTTCAGATTGCTGAGTTGCAAGGAAATTTATATATATATATATATATATATATATATATATATATATATAAAATAATTTTACCCTTCTTTGAAGAAAAGTCTCTTTTTTTTTCTTTTTTAGGGAAGCTTTATCTACAGTGATAAGTTATCATTTTGAACCACTTCTGATTATTCCTCAGGATGCTGCATGAATAATTGGGAGTGGGTGCCTCGTAGTTTGGAGAAAAAATAAGAGGAACCCTGAAGTTTGTTTTCACTCTCGGCCCATCCTAAATTTAGGAGATGTCCCAAGTCCAAGGCAGAGCACACAGTAGCCATCAGGGAGGTGGTCTGGGGCCCAGATCAGCATCAGCATTTGTTTGTTTGTTTTTGCATTTGTTTGAAAACAGAGCCAGGGCCTTCTGATAACACTGCTTTTGTCACTTTTGATATAAATCTCCAAAAATCGAGACGTCCAACAGCCCCAGAAAAGAGGAATTCTCTCCAAGTCTTGCCCCGCCCGGGCTCCGGAACAAACCCAGCTCTGTCTTTTTTTTTTTTTTCTCGAGCGGGGGTAGGGGACAGGGTGAGAGGATTTCAGTCTCGCAGGCTGTCTCATGATTGTCGGGGCATAAAGAAGTACAGTCCTGCAACAATGTGGGGACATCTTTACCCTTTAGAGAGGGACAGAACAAAAAACAAAGCAAGTTAAATTGCTGTGCACGAAGGCGGAGCAAAACCCCAGGCTCCTGTCCCCTGCACCATCTGTGGGAGGTGAGAAATGGGGAGAGCCAGAGAGAATGGAGAGGACCGCAAAGGGACAGTCCCAGGAGTAACCCCGTTGCCCCCCTGAATTTCACTTGCTCACTGGCTGAAGTCAGAGCCAGAGTTCACACGCCAGGTGCGATCAGGGTTCGGCTGTCCACGTCCTTCAAATAGGCTCACATGTGTTTCCTTTTTGAAAATAATTTTAGAGATCAAACCCGAATCTGGGGAAACTGTTAATGTCTTAACTTGGAGGCATGTACACACATATCAGTCTGTGACTTCAGGGTGCTGATGTTTCAGACCGGCAGACACATTATGCCAGAGTTTATGTGGTCACCACAATGGGTTTGATGGCCTCATGACAGTTTTTATTGTTTAAATTTGAAAGCCTTTTGTCTGTGCGTTTCCCATAAGTTTGCCCAATATAACAAGGCTGAGACAGAAAGAACACATCCGCAGCACACCGAATTAACATTTTTTATATGAATTTGCTTCAGAGTTGGACAGTTTTAAGAAACTCACAAGACATATTTTCCACCAAGAAGCTAGGATTGGAATGAACATAATCATCAACTGAGCACCTCTCCCCTTGTTAAAAAAAAAAAAAAAAAAATCGTTTTTTTCCCCATTTTTTTTGTTGAATAACAATTTTTTTTTCTATAATTAGGATTTTGGATTGCAAAATCACATCCCTCCCTTCACAGATTCTTGGATCTTTAGTTAGGATTAGAAAGGGGCCTTAATTCAAGAAGGGAGGATGAAGGAGGGGTGTCTGTGGAGGTTTAAGAAGGGAAGGGAGGAGAGGAAATAGTTCTGTGTTCAGCCCCCACACCCCTCTTCCCCGTGCAGCCCAGGCCTGGATGTGAGCTGCACACTGGGGATTTGGATTGAGTTTCTCTATTCTAAATATTCTGATCGCCACCCTTGAGTGTTTCCACGCTAAGATTCCAAAGAGATGCTTTTCCTTGTGGTTGGTTCTTTCGGGTGGGGGTTAGGAGAAGTCGGGAAATCATATAGAGCTGGGCAGGGAGGAATGAAAACCGCTCTCCTGAGAGCCCCCCAGGGAGGATGCTTGTGAAGGGGGCCCTGGGCTGAAGACTCGGGTCAGTGGTACAGAATCCCGTTTTGCAACGCAGACTTGCTCTGGTTCTACGTGGCCTCGTCCACTTCCGGAGGCCTGGACACGTGGGTTTCTGGCCTTCTTCGGGAGTTCTCCGGCAGGAAAGCAGGCCTAGGATGCCAGTATAATAGGCCAATCCCGAAAGAGGCCCAGAGGAGCAGAGAGCAGGGAGATGCGGCTGTGCAGGGCCCGTGGGAGTCTTACTAAGAGAAGCCCACCTTGGCTTATGACCGCCATTTGCCAGGGGTCACCTCTAGGTGGTTCCCAGGGCCCCTGCATCCAAGTAGGAAGGATCTGTTTCTAAGGGTGACTGACAAGCCCTGGCCAGCCCTGAGATCCCAGGAGTCCCGAAAACAATAGTGATGCCCTGAGCTCTCAGGCTCCAGCCTCTTACTGTCGGAACCCTGTGCCATCCCAGTGTCCTCTCTATCATTTTTGGAACCTCTTCCTCTCCTGCCTGGTCCCCCAGGGCCCTCAGAGAGACTCAGAAGTCAGTACTTGAGCTGAGGCCTTGGACCCATTTCGTCACACCTGCCCCAGGTTCAGTGTAGACAGAGGCTAGGGTGGCGAGCAGGGCCTGCGGCTGCTCTGGGAGAATAGCAGGCACCATGACCTGGATGTTTAATGCTGGCTGGAGCTTCTGATGCCAAGGAAGGGTCTGGAAGCCCAGCCCGGAATGAAGGAGATGAAGGCAGGGAGGATGCTGAGATCATCCCCTCTCAGTTTCCATGTGTCCCCAACGCCCCCCCCCCCGCCCCACACACACACACACCCTACCCTCATCAGCCTCCTCCCTATGTATACTTGCGCTGCTGGGACCATTCACCCTGGGCATCACTACCTGGCTCCTAGTGGCTGCATTGGGTAGGGCCAGGTGTGCTCCTCATTCTGGGGGTTCCTGGGAGGGCTCCCAGGTGCAGAAGGACAAGAGGCTGGACATAAGGGGTGGGTTCCAGCAGCCTCCTGAGGTCATGGGGTTGTCCCTGCATGCTGGCCTCGCTGAAGCCCCAACACCGCAGCTGTGCTCCGTGCTCTGGAGGGAAGCCGGCTGGGAAGCTTGTGGGGTCAGAAGCTAGTCAGGGTGTCCTTCCCAGATGCCTGAACACTGACCCAGTGCCTGGGGCTTCAACACCCAGTGCGCCCAGGACCTCGCACCCCCTGCGCCCGTGCCCCAGCAGAGGACTGGGATTTGTATTGGAATTTGGTTTAAGTTTTCCAAGAGGACTGTCCCGGCCACAGCGGAGCTCCCAGGGACATCAATACTAGCTGCTCGGCTGTGCTCCCAGGCGGGCGCCTGGAGGGAGGGAGCGGGACTGAGCCCTGGAAGACTCTGCCCTTCACCTTGGGATCCCCCAATCCACCTGCCAGCTGCCTAGGAACCTTCTGTAAATAAGATCAGGGCCTCCAGATCAGTGGATTTTTTACTTCATTAATTTTCCGGCCCATTTTCCAGATCTCTCTGGTTAGAGACAGAGTTAGGAGGAAAAGGGAAAAGAAAGGAGGAAATGCAAAAGGCCAGTCTTAAAATCTTTATAGAAATCTCCGTATGGCTGGGTTTTTCTGTGGTAGTTTGATGCTCATTTTAAAGGAAAGCAGGTCAAGCAAACTTTATGAGAGTTTTGCCAACAGCTCCAGCATGAGGGTATTGCTTGCATTCGGGAATTTAACACAGTTGCAGTCAGAACTCAGGGACTCAGAAACTGTCTTAAGAGGCCAAGCTTTAAAACGGTTAATTCAGAAAGGAGCCCTTTCCTGGAGGGGCTTTTGCTTATAGGGACTCTCAGGTTTTCAGATCTTAGACTATGGAGGAGTTAGGCAAGTATCTTTGTGCCTTCTAAAATAGAGCTCCTCCCCTTCCCCCCCCCCTTTTCTTTCTCTCGAGGAAGGATTCATTAATGTTCATATAAATGTGTTGAAACTAAAAGTTAATGATCTCAGCATCCGAGGCACTTTTATACTGTCAGATTATACTAAACTCCTTGTTGAAGGGATGGGGGGAAACCCGAGGTAATCATCTAAGATTAAATCTGTTAAAAATGACGTTTGACGCTTTCTGTATTCAGGCAGTGACTCCAGCGTATTTTTTCATCTGCCATTTATCTGTCTATCTATCTTCTATCTAGCTATCATTTATCTAGCAATCTCTAGAACTCTTTAAAGTAACATTGCAGAGGAGAAAAGCTATTAAAAGATAAATCTGCAGTTCCTACATTATGAAATAAAAATAATCGCACGACAGAGT